GTAAAAAAGTGCGTAAAAGTCTCTAATTACGCTCATATGTACATCCATATGTATATACGAGTATGGCACGTGCCATTGTCGCCACTGCTATGATGTTTATATTTATACACGTATTTTGTTATATTGCACTTACATACCAACCAAAAAAACAACATAAAAACAATAACAAAAAATCGCTGTTTATTATCGGAAATGAGCTCCTGAGTGGCGTTGTAAGTATTTTCCATCGCATTGTTTGCATGTCTGACGACATGTGCAAGTGCGGGTAAACAGCGAAGTGGTATAAAAGAGCACCAATAATATGCGATTCTAGAAATAAAAAATAAGGGAGAGCTAAGACCGCGGCCGCCATTTTTTGTAATATCTCCATAGAATATATCACTCTATCTGTTGAAACAATTGGAAATGTTATCTTATTTCGTTTACCCGAAGCGAAAAGCTTTTGTTCATGTGAAATCGCTAACAGTTAATGTTAAATCGTTAACAGATAATGTTAAATCGCTAACAGTTAAAGTTAAATCGTTAACAGATAATGTTAAGTTGCTAACAGTTAATGTTAAATCGTTAACAGCTAATGTTAAACGGCAAACAATTAATTTTAAATCGTTAACAGATAATGTTAAATCGCTAACAGTTAAAGTCAAATCCTTAACACATAATGTTAAATCGCTAACAGATAATGTTAAATCGTTAACAGATAATGTTGAAATTTAAAATTGAAGGGTGCTGTTGATATCATAGCTATTTTAAAACTAACATTAAGGGTGAATTTGTGCGGTTTCGATATTAACAATTCCATTTCGTTTCAATAACATGGCACCGAAACGAAACAAAATTATTTCGTTAGCATTTTTTCATATGAACGAAACGAAATGGCATTTTTTCATTAGTTGAGCATCTCTGTATTATATTATATTAAAGGCAATTAGTATTTAATTTAATGTTATGACCAAGAATTCATTATCATACCATCAAACGGTGACTTTTTGAAGACGCAGCAGCGTCTCAACAATGGCTTGTGCATTATAAACGATCCAAATGGGACAATTTTTTTCATTAAATTTCCCTTTTAAACACAAGTGAGCATCATCGCTCAACAAAATTTTCTTGCGAAAGTCGGCCTTCTCCTTCTCCTTTTGTGTTTGTTCACCGAACGTGCGACGCGCTTGTTGGACGTTCAGCTTCATTCTTGCGAGAGTTGGAATTTGAAAGCCCGCAAATCAAGATCTTACCCCAAAATTATCCATGAAGGTGATTGGCACAGCTACAATTGTTCCCATAGAAGAAAGCTATCCACCAAATTAATTTTTACTCACTCAATCGACCGCTGGAAACGGAAAAAAGCTTCTCAATTGTTAAAACTCAACGTGCGACGAGAAAAATATATAAATTTTAAGCAGAATTATAAAAAAAAGACAAAGTTATCGGTGCTACGCCTCTGTAGACAATCATATTAGTGAAGAGGTACCATTTTACGACCTGAAAGTGGGAGTGAGGTGTGTTTTTGTATTGATATGTTGATCATCCAATGACGAAGGTTGTCGTGATATGATAATTGATTTTTTGATACCAACTATTCGTGAAAATGGCATGGAACACTTCTAAATCATTAAAAACCTTACTGTTTTGTGCGCTTTTTGGTTCAGAGGTGTTATTAGCGATACTGTCACTGTCAATTCGGGGCGTTATGGTCGTATGATCACCGTCTTTTTTGGTCTGCAATTAAAAACTTTTATGTGGTTTGAACAAGTTGGTGTCTCATGCAACACAGAGAAATTTCTCGGTCGCGTTATCTCTTGACTTGGCAAAGTCAATTTATTTACGTTTATTTTCGAGATCTCAGAATGGATAAGCCTGTATAAAATTTTTTTTTTAGAATTTCTTGTTTATTAACTTCCCGATATCAATGCAGAACTTATTTTTTTAAATATTTTTCATTTTGCATGAATAAATAGATAGTAACTACTCCTATATCATGGATATATCGTGTTCAAGTACTGATTTCGGGTATAGTAAAACAAAAACAATAACAAAAAAATTAAAAATTGCTTGCAATTTACGTTGGCGCTCAATGCGTAGTAATTACATTGCTGCTCGAAAACAATTTGCACTTGCACTGCACTTGTTGTTATTGTAATTTATGTAATTGTTGTTGTTTATAATTGTGTTTATCATTCACGATGCGTTCGAGTGCACTCAACGTCACTTAGGACAGCAGAATTTCCCATTTGTATTTGTGCTTTTCAAATGCACTCATGTTTTTGTTGTTGTTTGCACGTTGCTGTCTGTCGCGCCATTGCATGCGCTTTTCTTGTCACTTGACATTCGTGTAGCGACAACAAAAACAACATACAATTACCATGCTGATTGCTAGGCGCAAACACAACAGAGCGAAAGTGTGTCACAATGTGAAGGCAAACATGCCGGCGACCGGCAACCGGTTTATGTCACGGTGTTTAACGCATAGCGGTGCTCAGTAGCTCACTGTACAGCAACACTGGAGCTGCAACATCGAATAACCGTTGGAATTATCCATGCTGCAACGCCACATCACGCGTCTGCCACTCAGCTGTGCGAAAAGCGCGTCGTCATCTCCAACAACAATCGCAGTCGAACGCATCCGCGTCTTTTTCATTCCATCTACTTCTTCTTTTTGAAAATTATTACCGTCATCGTTACACTACTAAGAGTTTCTAGTAGGTAGATAGTTGTGATGATTATGATGCCGGTTAAATTCATTATCTGCCTCTGGAGTCTGCTGAAGTACGTGACTTTTGTCTGCTTTTATCTCCTTCTTGCTCGTTTATTTGCTTAGGTGGCTCCAGCAACTAAAGAGCAAATTGCTGCTGTGTTTATTTTATACAATTCGTTTGGACATTTCGTTGATTTGTGTTTGCGTGCCACTAATAGTTGTCTGTGTTTCAAGGAATGGCCAGAAATATGTACTAAGTCACTTTAGCTGGTATTATTTTACTTGCCAAGGAGCCCAGACAGGAAGAGCGTAGCTAATTATGAATAACTCCTCCGTATTCCTCTTCTTCTGTCTAGGCGTACGAACCACTTGTAGTGGAATTAACCTCGAAGACGCCAAGTAAAGCCAGAGTGGAGGTCTTCCCCTTCCTCTACCTCCATCAGTGAGTACTGCATCGAGAGCTTTCAGCGCTAGAGTGACATACGCTATCTAGAGTGGCCGCTGTTTCTAATTTCGATGAGATATGCCAATGTCGACAAATATCTCGTCGGTCCAATCTTTATGTTATTCGCCGTCACTCAAACGCACAGGACCATGCATTTCTCGCAAAACCTTTCCATCGATCTTCCAAAGCCAACTCAAAAGATGTTGTCAACGTCCACGCTTCAGCGTCCGGTAGAGCTTGGTTTTTCTTTGTTAAGAGAGGACTTTACTGCTCAATCTTTTACTCAGTCCTGTTTTCATGAGTAATTCCGCTTTAAATTTCGAGGTTGACATTATTATTGGCGTTGATGCTAGTTCCTAGATAGACAAAATTATCTACGACCTCGAAGTTTTGACTGTCAATAGTAATATTGAAACCAAGTCGCGAATGCGATGACTGTTTGTTTGATGGTAGGAGATATTTCTGCTTGTCCTCGTTCACTACCAAACCCATTTGTTTCGCTTCTTTATCAGCTCTGGAGAAAACAGAAGCGCTTATTGAGGCCAATAATATCGATATCATCGTCGTACATCAGTAGCTGTATACTCTTATAGAAGATTGTATTTCTCTATTCAGCTCTACAGCTCTTATTATTCTCTCCAGCATGAAATTGAAGAAATCATGCGACAATAAATCACCTTGTCTGAAACCTCGTTTGGTACCGAACGACTCGCACAGATCCTCTCCAACTCTGACTGCGGTTCTGGTGTTGTGTAGCGTCAGTTTATACAGACATATGTTTTGCGGCGATACCAAATTCAGACATAGCGGTGTAAAGGCAGCTCCTTTTCGTGCTATTTAAGGTAACTTTAAAATCGATGAAAAGGTGATGTTTATCGATTTTTTTTCAAGATTTGTAAGTATGGTGTCAACTGGTTAATGGTGGTTTTATCGTGTATAAGATCCAATCAGTTCTTAAACAGTGCGTTTCAATTTTTCACACAATACGCTCAATAAGACCTTATACTCGATATTGAGGAGGCTTATACCATGTTCGTGGATTAGGCAGAACACAGTAAGGTTCCAATAGCCGACCATTATTTCGATCGACCATATTCAGCAAAGAAGCTGATGAATAAATCTTGTCAGTTCTTCGCCAAAAAATATTTGGAAAGCTCAGCTGATAAGCCATTGCCTGCCAGCGGGTAAGCGATAAGCGATTTTCATCATGATTGTGTAATCGATTGTCATCGATAGGAGACTCGGATTCGCCATCCCCTGGTATAAAATTTGCCAATAAGTAAGCCGGAGAAGTGTTTCTCCATTAATTCAGTAAGCTCTGAGTAACAGTCGCTAGATCACACATTTTGGTCCTACACGAGTCTTATTTATTATAGTGAAATAACTGTCGGCGGATGCGGTAGCCGAGTGGTTAGCATTGCGTACTGACATTCGGAAGGCTTGAGCTCACATTCCGGTGCCACCAATATCCTAAAGTTGTGGAAAATTAATTTAAATAAAAAAATTAAAAAAATAAAAATTAAATTCATTTTTTTTTAATTGCGGTCGCCTCTCGGCAAAGAGTGCCCACCCCTCTTTTGGCATTAGTGGTTACAGAGCGCCGCTTACAAATATTTTTTTGTATATATATAAACATATAGTGACTCTGCCACTCACTGGAGGCAATTGACTTCTAATCCACAGCATTTAATCTCTGTGAAAATATTTTTTTTTACTTTGCCTTTGTTAATTTGGAATATGAAAAATATGTACACTAACTCAAATCAAATGATATTCTTTATCCTTAGAATATAATTACATCAATAATATATTTACATATCTATATAATTTCTATATACTCTTCTTAATTTCATTTACTCACAGCCCGAATTGGCAGCACAAATAAAGGAAGCGCTACGCATTCAAGCTGAGCAGCGTATAATCTCCCAACAACAGCAAATACTGGATAAACAACCATTCGTACAGGACGGACAGGTATTTTCGGAATAAATAGAAAACAGAATTAATGTTTTAAAAGCGAATTTCTCAACAAAAAAAAACATATTTTCCATGTTTCTTCCAGCCAATTATGCCAAAGAACTATGATCCCTTTTACAGCCCGATTTTACTAAAAATTGATAAAATCGTTGAACAACTCGGTGTTACCGACGACCTCTGCAAAGAGCGACTCATCTGCAGCATGTATAAGGATCCAACACGTTACAGTCCACATAGTAATTTTGTTTCGTCGGAGTTGAGTCGGTGAGTTTCAAATAAAAATTAAAAGAGACTGATTCACATTTGCGGTTCTAGAAACTGTCATATTAATTTTTTGAATCGTCATGAAATTGAAAATTTACTGATTATCGCTACTAAATTTTATGGTTCGCGACATAATAACAATGAAAAATAGAAAACTATTTTAGATATAATAAATGCTACATACACATATTAACTGCATACATATGTATGTATGTGTAAATATCGAGTCGAAAATACAAATTTAACAATAACTATAACAACAGTAACTATGATTGTACCTCTCAGTTGCTTACAATATATAAAAGAGTTATACATGCGTATAATAAAATCCATCGAAGCTTAAAAAGCTGTCAGAAAAAGTGGAGCATATTTGTCATCGTTTGTCATCATTTGTCAAAATGTTGAAATTGCTGAAGTGTCATGTACGATACAAATCTTTTTATACTAGTCAGCCATAAACTCACTAATTCACAGTACATACAAATGTCTGTGATATTTGTAATGATTATAATAAGCAGGCTTTAGCGTGGCTTCAAAAATCATTTAATATATTTGCTCCAATTATTCTAGCAATTGAAAGGAAAGTGAAGAAAGTGACGGTATAATATACATATCTACATTTTCAGAATAAAATAAAGACTGTAAATTATTGAGAAGAAAAACAAAACAAACTAAATAAAATGGACACAACAATTTAGAAATGGTATATTGTTCTTTAGGAATATTAAAAAAATTAAATTAAAAAGAAAAAAAACAAAACAAATTTAAATTAATTTAGACACAGTAAAAAAAATTAAAATAATTAAATAACACAAAATAAAGGAATGCAAAAAACTAAAACATAATAAATTAAAGTATATAGAAATAAAATAAAATAAAATGAAATATTGATCTTCTATTGGTAATCTAAAATGAAAGAAATTAAAATAAAATAATTAAATTTAAACCAAATGTAATAAATAAATACAAATTAAATAAAATCAAAAAAAAATGAAAATACAAAATTATTATAATAAAAATAAGCCAATAAAAATGCTAATAAATTTAATTTAATTTAATTGATAAAATAAAATAATATATAAATTCAAAACAGAATGCAATAAAAGAAAAAATTAAAATTACATAAAGTATAGTAAAATGAAATAAAATAAAATAAAGTCAATTAAAATAAAGATCCATTAAATTAAATTAAATAAAACAAAATAAAATAAATTTAAATAAAAGAAAATATAATCAAAGAGTAAAATAAAATAAGACAAAATAGAATAAAGTAAAATAACACCAATAAATGTATATAGTAGTAAAAAAGAGTGAATAAAATTAAGTATAATATATAAAATAAGTTAAAAGCGAATTAAGTTAATTTAAATATATAAAATAAATTTAAGGGGCACACCTAGTGTAATGGCCTAGAATAGGTTTATTACAAAAAATACTTTATCAATTATTTCGAAATTTTTAGAATATATTTATACATATTTCAAAATTATGCTGTGAAATTTTTGATGAAAAAAACTTTATATTTTTTAAGTTATAGTCGATCTCCATCGGCGCGAGAAAAAGGACCTTCACTGCTGCCTTCTCCCTGGATGAAATTTAAAAAAAAATGTTCGTTAAGATAATATTGTCTGTACATTGTCCTACGATTAAAAAAAAAATTGACAATATGGCGGCGTTTAAAAAAAAATAGTCGAATTTTACACAAAATTTTGGTCGTTTGATCAGATCAAAAATCGATAGGTTATTGTACGGAGAACTATATATAGAACATGTAAAAAAATTCGATAGAGCTATCCGAAACATTTGTTTTTGAGTAATCATAGAAAAACTCGTTTAAAGATAAAACGATCGTTTTCACTCGTAGCTAATGAGACTCTCTAGCTGCCGAGCGACTTCTCTTTAAATTGCTATAACTCAAAAACTATTTGAGATATCGATTTGAAATTTTAATATATCATTTTTAAAGGTGTAATCTACCGAGATCCATTTTTTGAAATTTCACAAGAGGTGTGTCCCTTAAGCAAAATAAATATATTTAGAATAATAATTATTTAGAATAAAATAGTAATAATAGATAAACTAAATTAAACTAAAGCAGCATAAAATAAAACAAAATTCAATCAACTAAATAAGAATTCGAAAATAATAAGACGAAAATTAATTATTATAACAGAATATAATAAAGTAAAATAAAATAAATAAAGTAAAATGAAACAAAAAAAAAACGGAAAAAAAACAAAAAGAAACTAAATAGCAAAAAGTTTAAAACAAAAAAATTAAAAAAATTAAATTAAAAGAAAAATAAAATGCTTAGAAAAGCCAAAAGATTTAAAGCAAAAAATCTAAATCAAATATATTTTATAGAATAAAACAAATTAAATTAAAGTAAAATAAAAAAAAATAAGTGTATCACGCTTTTGGCATTAATGGAAATTTATCTCCCAACGAAATCCGAAAATTTGTTTACTAAAACAACTACAGACTGAAAAAACATTCCATTTTCCCTTTCATTGAGAGAAGATTTAAACAGAGGCGATTGCTGCAGTACAAGATATCTCCAATGTAAGACGCACACAATTCATCAGCATATTGACTCTCTTTGCATCTTCACATTCCAAGGAATTTAATCAAAAAGAGAGTGGTTAAACCTAAAGGAGATGAGCTAAAAATAAAATTGCCAAAGGGATTCATCATTTCACTCTTTCAAAGATGGTAGACACTTGATTGCGGCCACATTTTCGAAAGCAGACAAGCAATAAATACCAAATTTTTACATAAAAGGATTTAATAATACTAATTGACCATGAAGCAAAAATTTAAAGTATTGTAGTTTCAATCGAACATTTTGTGAGAAATACTGCATAAAATTTTTCTCAAGTTTCAAAAATTTTGACAGTTTTTAAACCAAAATAACCAGCTATTCAAATATACCTATTTCTATGAAAATGACTGGTTTATAAGAAAAAATGCTAATAGTGGCTTCCAGTCGTTATTCAACATTAATTTTAATAGATAAATGAATTTATAGACGTTGTCAAGTAAATAAACATTTAATTGTTTACAGTTCGCCGCTCACAGTTTATACATACATATGTAGATTTTTCTGAGTGTACACTCTCCGTATAGACTTTTTTCGCATTTATTGCGAATATTTGTAGTTTTATTGTTATTCTGAGTGTCCTGTTAACACCATTTCATAACAGAAGCTGTGCCTATGTAGTTGGTATATAGCTTCGTGTGGTTTTAGTCTTGCAGTCTTTCCGTAGGATATTTTCTTTTGTTGTGTTATTAACATTTATTTAGTCTAAAATATGCCAAATTGGACTGTTTTCAATAAATTTATCCCAAACTGCTGAGACTAAAGCGAATCCGCCTGTTTACAAGCGTTGGCTTCTCTGATTTCTTTTGTTGAAACGAATGTATCGCCGAATCTCAGTATGATCCGAACTACTCATGGTATTGGAGAAAAATAATGGCCTCCACTTGTTCCAAAAATATTGAGGACTCCAAGTAGCGGTGGACGAGGGGTTGGCATTACGTGCTGCCATTCGGGATATCCCTTGTTCAAATCCTGAAATAAAGGCTCCTCATAAAGAACCATCAGACGTTCGGAGGCGGTTTTAGTATAAACTGTAGATCCCCCATTTGTTGGAAAAACATCAAGACGCATTACTGATAATCTTTTCTACACCTTTTTCAGTACTGAAGAACGATTAATCATAAATATTTTATTGTTCAATTCAGTGAGAAATACGAAAATTCCAATCTGCTTCCCATCTTTTATATAAGTTTTTTTTTTCAATGAAAAAAAGTTTTACTTATAACATTTTGACTTACAGACAACTTATCAAAGTTGAAATGTGTTACCAATATATTTTTATATTTTAATAAATTATTCGTGAAAGAAATCGTGATTCAATGAAATCATTTATTCGTCATCCAGCGCTGAAAAACTCTTATTTCCAAAACGAAGAAATATTATTTTCTAATTTCATGTGAACCTTACCTTTCTCTTACTCACATGGGATTCGATATGTTCTATACTTGGAATTTGTAACTCAACTTTTTGTACTTTCTTCTCCTCAAAGAGAATGTTGAATCAGTTTGGGAAATTACAATATCAACAGAGATTTTAATTTCCGCTTACTCATTGATACAAACAACAATACGCTCATTGATATTATTGTTATGCGCAAAGCAGGCCTAAAAACAAGAAGATTGCGAAAAACAAGGTAATCAAATTCGTTTAAGTGCACCGTTAAATACAAATCAGAATTTAATTCCAAGACTGCGAAATGTTCATATTAAATGATGATTGAAATAAATGAAATGAAATAAATTTTCTATAGCAATCAAACTTAACATAATCTCTGGCGTTCATTGATATGTGCATTCTACATTCTCTTTGTGCTGTGCCAAAAAAAAAAAAAACAATTATTTTTTAACACGTGTTATATTCGTATATATCACAATGAGCCTGTTGGCCTAAGTGTGCTGGCAACAGCAGCCGCATCAACTCAACTCATATTCGTATATATATTCTCCGAAAATAATTTAAAAATCATTTGCAAAAATTCAGGACACATTTGCTTCCTTTTAGACGTGATACGTGCAGACGTGGAAAAAAACGTGAGACTTTATGTGAGCCAGACAGCCTAAAAGCAAACGAAACTCAATTATTCAGCTCGCGTTTGTAGACCCATAAGTTACTTTCTGCAGCAAGCACCACGAGTTTTAAAAGACTGAAATAAATAAAAATAAAGATAAAACTAAAAACGAAATGTTATAAATTATACTAATTGATATAGGGTTATACACTTCGTGCTTTGAAAAGCAGAGGGCTGTATTTTGACATCTGTTAAATTTAACTGACAAACCAAACTTGTTTGGGTTTTGTTTTAGTTAACAATCAGACATTTATAAAACATCCGCATGACGCGTGAAAATTGTTAAAACCTACTACAGAAAAGGTGACCACGCGTCGTAATTATAGAGTACACACAACTGGTTGAACTTTTAAGAAACTTTAAGAGACTGTATATTGAAAGGTCTTTCCATCTTCGTTTTTCTCGTACCAACTTAAATATCTCTATTGAAAATGAAAGTATAGCCGCAAAACCTAATATATCTAGCTCTCGCCGTCATGAAGAGCCGGGACCTCTTATAAGGTCCAATTCACACATCAACTGAAGCAAACCAGCGATTTTTCGAACGAAATTTTATGCAGCAACGAAACACGTTTCTCCCTGGAGGGATACGAAAATAAAGAAATTTGTTGCATTTGTGCTCCCGGAATCTTCAAATGATCTAAGAGAGGCCATTACACCAAAAAAAAACTTACTTTGTGATTAAACCGTACTTCCTGGAAAAGGACAGCAGCGAGACTGTCAGAGACAATTCAAAGCGTTATAGTCGTACCATAACCGACCTTTTTAGGCTGAAATTGAAGGAAACGACTTGAGCAATATATAGTTTTAACAAAATGGTGGCACATGCCAAACAATACGAGCGTATATAGCTTTATGAAAAGATTCCCCGGCCGCGCTCGTCTCTCGTCTTGACGATGTCAATTAGTCAACGATATCGAGCGATGTTATACCGTCGGTCTGTTCTTGTTGCTTACACAGATAAACCCTTAACTCTTAAGCATATGAAAATAAACATTCGTCACGAAGTAGCTGAGATACCGCCCGATAAGTGACAAAAACTGGTCGAAAGCTACTGCAAACAGATCGAATTTTGCAAAAATTCGCGACCTGGTCTTTTAGTGGTATTGGGTTACACATATAAAGCCGAGGTTCAAACTCTATAATAAAAAAGGATATTGACGGAAAAAAAAGTTTACGTTTCGAAACCGCCAAATAGATAGCCCTGTATAAAACAATAAAACTAATTAAAATTAAAATAAACTAAAATAAGTTAAAATGTAAAAGAATAAATTAAAATATAATATAAAAAAATAAAAACTTAATTTGTTTAACAAAACATGGACACCAGCGAAGGGAAAATTCTCTATATTTTACAATTTTTTTTTCGGTCCCGGCGAAAAACCAGCCAAAGCAGCTGAAAAAATTAATTTAGTTTACGAGCCCGATACTGTAAGCGAACGTATAGCACAAAAGTGGTTTTCTAGGTTCCGTTCCGGTCGAAAAATCATGGAAATAGTGAAAACAGACCGTCAGGTGAGCGCTTATTTAATTGCTGAGGAACCAAAGAAAAGCCAGAAACCAGTTTGGGACCATTTGCATAACCTTGGATTCAAAAAGAAGCTCGATATTTGGGTAACACACGAACTAACGCAAAAAAAAAACATGACGGACCAATTTTCCATCTGCGAATCGTTGCTGAATCGCAACAAAATCGACCCGTTTCCAAAGCGGATTGTGACTGGCGTTGAAAAATGGGTCACTTACGATAACATCGAGCGCAAACGGCCGTGGTCAAAGCTCGGGAAAGCGGCCCAGACGTTGGCCAAGGCCCGGCCAGTAATGTTTTGTTGTGTGTTTAGTGGGATTGGAATCTACTACGAGCTGCTCCCCTGTGTCAAACGCTCAATTCGGCCCTCTACCACTATTATCCCTACTGCCAACAGATGGACCGCTTGAAGGCATTACTCATCCAGAAGAGGCCATCATCAACAGAGGCTGAATTGTGTTCTATCAGGACAACGCCAGGCCACAAACGTCAAGGGCAATTAAAAACTAAAAGAGCAAAAACTCCCGTTAAAAGACATCAATATTTACGTCGGTAATTAAGCGGCATTTAAAGCAATAATCTCACATCCTAATATGTCAGAAAATGATCTTAGAAACAAAAAAGTAGTAGACAATGTGGGCTTTTAGGGAAACGATATAATTTATGATATTATTAAAAATATCATCTGGCTTCCAAACGATTACAGCTTATTCGAAAATCGCTAGAAGGTCTGGAAGATTTGTAAGAATTATATAGAAGGGCAACGAAGGAAACATCCGAGAAGGACTGAAGGAGGTTATTGGCTTAGTGATAACCTAATGGCAGCACACGCGAGCAAGCGAGCATTACTAACAGTGTAGCTGAAAGGAAAGCACGATTGACACGCTGAAACTGCTCCTATGCTTCTGTACTGTGTTATCGATAACTCATTCCAGACAACTTGAACTGCGAATCAAAGAACTAAATAAATTAACATAATTGGACATAAGCGCACTCTAAAAACTTCGCAAAAGGCGTTGACGGCCTACATCTGGCACTAAAAAGTACTAGCAGGCTTAAGAAATAGTATAACCTGGCCTAACCTCTTATCGTGTGAAATTTTTATTTTTATATTTTCAAAATTAATACACATCTTGTATTATTCGTATATATTGAAAGTGTGCGGAGACCAAAGAAAGGTTGAAAATCGCTGATCTAAGGCATTACTTCCAACAAAATTGAATTGCTTCCGAGAAATCACTATTATTCCATTCTTCAACTGCCCTTCAAAATATGCTACAGTCAAATAAATCTTTTCTCCAAAACCAGAATAGAATTTCTACCAAATGTAATTCCGAAAAGCTTCTTAAAAGAAAAGAACTGAAATACTTTATCGACTACTTCCCCAGCTATGCCAAAGCTCTTAAGCTTCTCTATTTTGTACAAATCATCTTATACGGAATTTCTAATCAAATTTTCAAATCGAAAATTCCATCATTAATCATTAATCTATCTGTATCTCACTACTCTCTTTATCTCTTTTCATGCATCACATTGATGATAACAACAAAACTACAACAACAACGAATCTACAAAAAAATAAAACGCTGACAATTGAATTTACGCAGCGACACGAGTGAATTGCAGCCCGTATCAAATCCAAATGGAGCCGTTGTGCGTTTCTATCGTTTCATACAAGCCGCCCGAGACGGACAGGATCAAAGAGATTGCCTACGTTTGTATCCGCAATGCAACATTAATACGGAATGAGTTGGGTTCGTTCGGTGGCGTTGAAGTGGAAATGTGAATGACATAAAATCGATATGAAATCAAGTGAAAGCTCATGCTTATGTACCTACATACATACATATTTACATGTGTTTGTGTGCATGTGCGTATAGAGCGAAAATGTTTCCAATACATTTCAGTCTGCAGCACTTAAGGCGGTTGGAATAAAAAGAGTATACCAAAACCATAAATCGACTAACGCGCTACCAACGACGATGTTTAGTGAGCCTCCAACAGCAAAAAACAAGACAAAAAAGGAAGCCTGCATAACGAAACGAAACCCCGCAGCGTTCAATAGTCATGGGAATTTCGATTTAATAGTTCGTCTTTTGTTTCCTACTTTTCCCTTTGATTTTGTAAATAGGTTTAGTGCATAAGTCGATAAGTTCATTTATTTATATTTATTTGTATGTGTGTATTATTTATTTGTTTATTCAGTTCTTTTAGTAAATTTGCGTGTGGGCAGTTAAATAGCATATTTTAAGGCGTAATCGCAGGCTCGCTTTGATGCTGCTTTGTTGTATGTTATTTTAGAAAATTGTGTAAAGTGAGAAAATATTTAATTTAATATAAAACCATTTATAATATTCTTTAATATTTTAGTTGTAATATGGTTTTTTTATAGGCGATTATCCATACTTAGCCACCTGTAAGTGTGCAGCGAAAAATGTTGCTTTATATTATATTAGAGTTGGCCTACTTACAGGTGCTGCTTAAAAAATAATTTTGAACGACGGAAAATATTTGATAAAAATTTGTTAATTATTACGCAGTGGAATTTCATAAATTTTTTATTAACAACAAAAAAATTATTTTAATATTTAAACTTTCTTCATATTTTGTGATGCTACACGTGCAAGGTCTGCTCAATAGAAAAGATGATTTAAAAAAAAGCAAATGAACGATGATGAACGAAGAGTATGTATTAAAATCAGCTTTATGGAATTAGTGCTAGAAATTTTGACCGTTGCATTCGGTAAGTCCACTTTGTCTCAAAAAGGCGTTCATAAGTTGTACAAGAGCTTTACAGAAGGCTATGTAGATGATGATGACGATGAGTGTCCGGGAGTTGCAACCACATCGAAGCAGTGAAAAAAATAGTTTGGCAAATCGGAAATCAAATTACTATTTGGGGAGTTATAGGTGGTATTGGCATCACAATCGGCTCATGTCATGCACTTTTATCGAGTGTTTTAGACATGAAACGGTAATTCAGAAATAAAATAAGTTATTGAATGACACCAATGTTGATTCAGTTTTGCTCGAAAGGGTCATAACTGGTGACGAAACGTAGGTGTAAGATCATAACATCAAAAGCTAGACCAAATCATCCCAATGGAAGCAGCCAGCTGAATCCAGACCAGCATTATCTGTTAACGACTTAACATTAGCTGTTAGCGATTTAACATTATCTGTTAACGATTTAACAATTAACTATTTACCATTAACGACAGCTTTTCGTTTCGGCTAAAAATGAAATAAAACTAATTTTAATAACGGCTTTAACGATAATATTACGTTGCAACCGAAACGATACCAGTTTTTCGATTAACGATTAACGTTAAAGAGCACACCAAGTGGCTTATAACGTCAATATCATACGGTACTCATGCACAGGTCCAGCGTGAATAGAACAGAAGTCTTATATATTATGAAATTTTATGAAATTCCGCTGCCTATTTTTATAATTAAAACAATCAAATTGTTTATTGTAGTAACAAAATATAATGTTTTAATTACTTTAAAGTCTTAAAATTAATGTTTTTAGTTTTTTAGAAAAAATTTAGTCATTTTTGAATATGTGAAAAACTTGTTAAATCTTATAGTTGATTAAATATTAGCAATATTTTTCTACTTTTTATTTATGTATGTATAAATTTTTTCATCAAACATATTTATTTAATTACATTTATTTCCTCTAAACTAATTTATTCTATTAATTATAGTTTCTATTTATTGAAGAAAATATTATTAGTTAATTTTATATTGCAATTGCATGTAAAAACATAAATTTTTATAATAAAATATGTAAAATAAACTATAAATTGTATATTTAAACATTCACTATTTTCATTTGGAAAAGTAATAAAACCACTTTAGCATATAAGGTCATTTTCCTTATTGACCTTTTTTCCGGCTCAAAAGTCAAAAGTAGATTCAACATTCCCAATAAAGCAAAGCGACGAGACCATATATTGGAAGAACCTCTTGGCTTAGCTTAGTAAAAAAATCATAAAATCCATCATTCGCTCAGAGGCGCCTTGAAAGTAGGTAGCACTCCAATAGGCATCTTATAGAAGCTGAACCTCCACCTAGACACATCAGAAAGGGAGTATTTGACATGAAGGACAACATTCAGCAATATGTGCAACAACCGCTGGACAGGACGGCGTACAGTTAAGCATTGAACGCTATTCCCCAGGAATCAGCCAACACCTTCAAAGACTCCTTTGCCGTGAATAACGTGCGCGAAGAAAAAGCACCACCCATAGCAGACAACGAGCTCGAGCTGTCTGGAGAAAACCGCGTGGCCATGGCACAACCTACGTCTGGATACTGTAGCAGGTTAAACTCCTACCTGTTCGACCCTAGCATATCCAACGCCCTGCATCTGGAGAGTCTTCGCATGGCCCCAACCACCTCTTCACATGCCCCCTTAAGCCAACACATCTAACCCCCTCTCCCTTTGCTCCAATCCCATCGAAATAGACGGTTTTCTGGACCTCCTATTAGATGACCTCGGGGACACACCTGTGCCTAACCAGGGCCAGTGAACCAACAGGTGGCTGGGAATAAATTGTAAGCTACTCCAGAAATCGAAAGAGAATCGTCAATTGTACAGTTCTATAATTAATGTATGATTAGGATTGCATAAGCTCTAAAAGCAGCTGTTATGTTGGCCGACAAAACACATTAGAGTCTTCAAGTCTTATTCCATCTTTTACATATATACATTGTACATAGCAGTGATGATTCTTATCTCCATATTACAATATTAGTTCATATTATGGCGCTTGGTTCCTTTATAGCTCTTATTAAATAATACATTTCGGTCTCAAAACCAAGATTCGAGTCATGGTCCAACCAACATCCAAAATTTTAAAGAAAAAATTATTTTTCTAATTGCGGTCGTCCCTCATCAGAGAAAGCCAAGCCCTCCGAGTGTCTTTCTGGCATGAAACAAAAATCCTCCAATAAAAATTCATCGACCGTTCGGAGCCGTCGTAGAATAAACTGTAGGTTCCTCTATTTGTTGGAGAGCATGGAGCCACGTAACACAAATTGAAGGAGAAGCACCGTTATAAAGCGCCAATTATATTATATTTAACGAAGTTCACGGCCGCTCTAGCCGATAATTTAGATAAAAATTTAAGTTAAATTTTCTAATTTCGGTCGCCTCTCGGTAGAGAACGTCAACCCCTCCGAGTGTATTTCTGACATGAAAATCAAAAAAGAAAAGCTCCTCATAAAAAAACCATCATCCATTTGGAGGCGGCTTAGTATAAACTATAGGTCCCTCCATTTACTGGAAAAACATCAAGACACAAAACCAGAATATGGCGGAGTTGAACCTACAGGTACTCTGCGTAAATCATCAAAAAGGCGATCCCAAAGGTCTATTATTGAAAGGAGGTTGATCCTCTCAATATCACATAAAAGGTCTGTGTGAAAGACTGAAACTCACCATTAACAAACTGAGTAATTCTTTATCGTGTGACTTCCTTAAGTTATTGCTGAAGAAAGTAATAAATATGAACTGCAGAGCTTAATCAATAAGTTGCAATTTTCCACAAGAGCGAAAAAATGCTAGTCGGTTGGATATGGTAGTTAATGAGGACAAGACGAAATATCTCCATCATCAAAGAAACAGTCATTGCATTCATCGCTGTTGCTTCGAAGTCGCACCGATGGAACAATGATCTGTACTAAATCTGCGACGACATTGATATATCTCAACGAATTAAGAAAAAGCAGCTAAACTGGTTAGGTTATGTCGTCCATATAAGCGACAACATTAGAACTTTGAGAGCTTTCCACGCAGTGTCCAGTCTGGTAGAGAATTGGCCCTGAAGAAAAGACTGAGACGTTGTTGTTAACTCGGCTTTAATCGTAAAAGTGCTTTCTATCCCAATGAAGAGAAAGAAAGACTCAGGCGTAATGGCGGAGAGACAGCTTCTTATCTTGATATCACGGGTCTTTCCGAAAGTTTGGCACTCACCGTATGTTCAATACTAGATTTAGCTAGCCAAAAGGATTTAGGATAAAGGATTAGTTCGGGATAAAATTCGTTTCCAGCCCTCAGGTTTGCACTAATCCGAAGTAACCAGTAAAACGGTTGTAAGAACTTTGTCAGTTCTACTAAAATCAAAATAGTAACATTAAGTCTAAAAATAACTTAGTCCTCCTTAGGCCTTCCTGAAAATCACGTCTTTTGTTATTTTGCATGTTTTTTTTTTTTCATAAAAGTGTTTTTAACATGATTTTCCTTTCCCTTTCAGAAAGCGCATAAATTCAATTACAGTTCATATGACGCTGCGAACCTTAAAAAAATAATTTGGAAAATTGAAGACGTTGAAATGAGCTTTTAAATACCTCAGACTCAAGTTATTTTTAAGCGCACAGCTGCCAGCAATATTGGGCGCACTAATGGCTAAACATTCCGGCACATGCGGCACATGCCGAGCGGAAATAGAAATTATTGACATCCTTAGTCAACAATACGCAACGAATAGCAACAACAATAAGTGAAAAGAAAACAAGAAATGTGCCAATAATGCCAAAATAGCAAAATATTGTACAAACGACGGCATAATGCCAAAAATGGCAGCGATTGTTGAAATTGTTCAAATGCCTCGAAAGCGTGACTGGCAAAAGTCCCTCCCAGTGGCAATCAAAGCGATTTCCTCATTTGGTTAGCAATAAAATGTAATAAAATAAAGCTACAAATATTGAAGAAGAATGTAAATTTCTCTCTTTGTAAAAGTGAAAATAACGCTCAACGGAAAGAACGCAGAGCAACCAAATAGATTTAAAGTCCAATGTGGCGAATCATGTTCTGGGAAAGGTTACTTCGTTACGTCACTTTTTCATTAATTGCACTTTCAATTCAAGTTGAGAAATTAAAAACAATTTCTTAAAATGTTTTCATAAAAATCAAATTCAATGTTTAAAGAAGACAAGGGTACGACAGCCACTGAACTAACTGTTTACAGTTGACGAGACTCGATATTTTTATTATCAAAAAACATATTTTTCTTTATAATATTCCAACAAAAGCTGTTATTTTAATATTAAGAGCAAAATGGCATTTTTTGACTTTAATGAACCGATGTCTATTTCAATGTGAATAGGACTTGATAAAGAATCAAAGCGAATGGGCGAACTATCTACTGTCATCAAACAAACAGTCATCACCTTCGCGACTCGGCTCCAATGTCACTATTGAAAGTCATAACTTCGAGGTCGTAGATAATTTCTTCTATCAGCGAAGCATCATTAACACCAATAATAAAATCAACCTTGAAATCCAGCGCAGAATCACTCTTACCAACAGGTGCTACTTTGGACTGAGCAGACAATTGAAAAGTAAAGTCCTCTCTCCGCGAAAAAAAAACTTTATTTCATAAAGCTTATCATACCCGTCCTACTATATGGCGCAGAGGCGTGGACGATGTCAACATTTAACGAATTCCCAGGGCCGAGAGAAAAGTTTTGAGAACATTTTATGTTCCTTTTCGCTTTGGCGACAACGAATAACGTAGATGATGCAACGATGAGTTGTATGAGTTACACGATGTCATTGATATAGCTCAGCGAATGAAGAGACAGATGCCTACGCTGGCTATGTCATGTCATACGACTGGAAGAAAGCACTTCAGCTTTGAAAGTATTTGATGCAGTACCCGCTGGAGGAAGCAGAGGAAACGGAGGAAGAGAAAAAAAGTATCCACTTTGTTGGAAGGATCAGGTTGGGAATGACCTGGTTTCACTTGATATTATTTCGGCTAAAATCGAGTAATCGATGCCAATGCCAAAAACACGCTTACAGGAGCGTATCCCATTTATGAAAATTTCCATCACAAAATCACAAAGTGGCTACTGAATACCCCCAATAGCTTCAGGAATTCCACCTTTTAAGTCTTGGCCACGTGGCCGGGAATAAACAAGTCACAAGATGTTATATCATAAGATCTCTGTGACCAATTGCGATCATCTCTTCAAGAGATACTACGGTCCTGAAACTTTCTCATAAAAGATGGATGGTTTCGTTGCTTATGTGGCACGCATCGCCATCTTGTAGAAAGTAAATGTTGTCGAGATCAATAATATCCAAATTCGGCCATAAAAAATCAATAATCATCTCCATTCGTTTTCCAAAAATTATGGTCTAATAACCCTCAGCCCCACATGCATATTGAAGTAGCCA